GACAAGGTAGCGTCTAACTCGACACCGCTGTGATCACTGCTCATGGCGGTTCTGTTATTAATTGATGCTCGGTCTCTCAGTGCGTTTCTACGAGGGCGTCCTCGAGCTGTGCCTCACGGCGGCTGATAAGAAGGACCCTCAGAGGCTGGGCCCCCATTTTTACAAAAATGGAGAGCCCGAGGAGGACCATACGGGACAGCTAGCCTTCCAGGAAAGGTAAAATTGGTCCTGAAATTATTTCATTTGCCTTAATTGGTCCTAAAACTCTTTTTTTTTTTTTTTCCTCTACAAATGATGGTCTTCATCTATCTATGCTGATACAAGCCTAAATAGCACACTAGCACACTTTGACACAACATCACATTTGAGTCACATCAAAATAACTGTCAATACGTTGCTGATGGCTTTTGTCACTTGACATTTTCCGATCCCATCCCTGCAGGCTATCGTGTTATAAATGTATCACGGACACCATGCAGGAGCTGGTCAACCAAAGCAAAGCAGCCCCTCAATCCCCCAGCGTCCCAAAGCAGCCGGGGCCTCCCGTCCTCACCTCCGATCCTAACATGCTGAGTAACGAGGAAGCGACGGCCCACGTGAGTGAGAAATGTGTGTTTGATTCTGTACATTTCCTGCAGTTTTTCTTTGAATGAGAACCTCTTTCCGCTGCAGTTCGAGCAGATCTTTGGTCTGGCTCAGAGGTCCCAAGATGAGCTGTTTCACATCGCCCTGTACAACTGGCTCATCCAAGCAGATCTGGCGGACAAGTTGCTCGAGGTACCCTGTGGTTTATTCGGGCCAGAGTACCAGGCAGTACTTTAGATGTTCGACAGAAAAAAAAAACAATTTCGCAGATGCATCTTAAATAGGTCAAAGTTTTATAATCATTTTGACGATTCACGGCAAGTTAAAAATAAAAAGCATGAAATTAGGTGGACAAGTCTATCCAAGCCTGAAAAATACTCAAGCCGAAATCGGACTAGAAGTCAGCCATTTTGGTTCGAAGAAACCATTATGAGTCAATACCAGGGCTCTCATAAACCAATTGAACTCTAATCAAGACACTTTTTTCACCAGCGCCATCTAATGTGTGTGGTTGGATCCTGTTTTGTCCAGGTGAATTCGCCGTACCTGGAAGAGCATCTCATGCATATGATCAAACAGGATCAGAGCAAGGTGCACAACATGGACCTGCTGTGGCGCTACTACGAGAAGAACCGCAACTTTGGCAAGGCTGCCCACGTTCTAGCCCGCCTTGCCGACATGCACAGGTCTGTGAATCTGTCATTGATGATGAGGAATAGGAGAAATGCCATCATTGTACCAACCTAAATGTACCTCTCGTCTGTGCGCACACGCAGCACCGAGATCTCCCTCAAGCAGCGTCTAGAGTACTTGGCCCGGGCCATCTTGTCCGCTAAGAGCTCCTCCTGTATCTCCGCTCAGGCGGCAGATGGCGAGTTCCTCCATGAGCTGGAGGAGAAGATGGAGGTACAGTGTCGACCGTCTTGATCCCGGGGAAATAAAGTATAAGTAGTGACGTAGGTTTTGTAGCTTTTACATTTACTCATCTCCCCAAAATATAGAAATAGCTTTATTTGTCGACTAAAGTCAAATTAAGTTGACTTTCACGTTTTTTTTTTTTTCCTTAAATTATTTAAAACAACAAAAAAAATCAGAAGGTAAAAACCTGCCCATGCACATAACACCGCTCTGCTTACTTCTCATAACACCGCTCTGCTTACTTCTCATAGCTGGTGCGCATCCAAGTCCAGATTCAGGAGACGCTAATCCGACAGTGTTCTAATCATCCTTCGGTGAAAAATGCCGTCTCTCAGTTGGATTCGGATCTCATGGACATCACCAAGGTAACACACAACAGCTTTATGAACGGTTTAAATCTGCGCTATGCTGTACGATTCCGGCAGTCTCGGACAAAAGGATTCACAATCGCAGGCGAAGAACGGCCATCACAACTGAAAATGCATCATACTACAGTAGCTTACAATATTAAATATGCCTTTTATGAATAAAACCTTGTTTTTGTTGAACACTTAAGCCTACTACACTACGGTACTCCATTTTAACATTGGTCAAATAATTGTCGTGCTAATAATTGTTTTAAGAGGCAAGTAGCACTGCGCAACATGGCAATTTCTCTACCCAACTTCCGCCATTCATACAACAGAATAATTCCTAATAATCACGCTCAGTAAATTTGTGAGTAAATTGAGACAAGGTCATATTATATTGGCATTCATCGTTTTTGCGACGTTTTTGTTTGGTGTCGTGCCTTGATATTGTTCTCATGTAAAATGTGTGCCTTGGCTCCGTCAAGCTTAAAAAAAAACATAGCTTTAGGCAGTGGGAATTGTTTGTGTGATCCCATTCCTGCACGCAGCTGTACGGGGAATACGCCGACCACTTCAAACTGTCCGAGTGCAAGCTGGCCATCATTCACTGCGCGGGACACTCGGATCCAATTCTGGTGCACTCGCTTTGGCAGGAAATCATAGAGAAAGGTCATTGCCCTACAACACACAAAACAAGGTCGTGTTTTGCTTTCATCGTTATTTGTTGAGTAGCTGCCGCCAATCTTGTCTCGCAGAACTGGCAGACACGGTGGCCATGAGTCCCGTGGACAGGATGCGATCCCTCAGTTTGAAGCTGGTGTCGCTGGGCCGGATCTATGCGGGGACACCGCGCTACTTTCCACTAGGTCAGCGTTCTTCTCTCATTTTAGTGCACTTGTGGTCTATGGTAAGTGTGTTCCTCGCTTTGCTGGAGTTGTGATGCCGGCTATTTAGTTGAAAGCGGCATAATTATGATGATTGCTCGTCCCTTGTGAGTCGCCATTACAAGCAGCACGTTCAAACATGTCCTCCCTGTGGACTATTACCATGGATTTGACTCCTTACTCAGAGAGTATTATACACATACAGTACATGTGTGTGTGAAGTTTAAATGGTGGTGTGTGTTGTGTGTAAAGTGTGGGTGTGTGTCAATAGTGTGGATGTATTGTACCGTGTGAGGGTGTCTCGTCTGTGAAAAGTGTGCATGTTCTCTTTCCAAAAATATATGTGCCCTGTGTATAAAGTGCGGGTTGTTGATTTGTAACGTGCGTGAAGTGTGTTCACCGCCTATGTATCATGTATGTAACGTGTACTGTGTGCGTTGCGTGTTTGCAGAATTCCTGGTGAAGTATCTGGAGCAGGAGGTGTGCCGCCTCAACTGGGACGTGGGCTTCGTCACGTCCACCATGCAGGAGATCGGGGTGCAGCTGCCGCGCCTCCTCGAGGTCTACGACCAGCTTTTCAAAACCAGGGTAGCCGCCTCAAATCACATGCACGTCCATTTTTAAAATAATGTAAATAAGAGTAAGTATGCATGAAGATTGTCCGTTGTAGGATCCTTACTGGCAGCGCCTGAAGAAGCCTCTGCACTTGGTGGAGTGCATACACGTGCTGCTGTCGGGTTTCGTGGACGACCCCAGCAGAGTGCCCACGTATGACAGGTAAGCCACTTCAGTAGCAGTTCAGCTTCTGGCCTCTGGAGGGAGCTGCAGCGTCGGATGTCTGTCAAATGAACTGTTGGGTCTTTCCCATTGCCGACCAATTCTTTCCCCTCCGCAACAGACGCCGCTTCACCAACGTGTGCCTGGACAACATCTGCGGCTACCTGGTGGAGCTGCAATCCCTCAGCCCCAACGCCGCCCTCCAATACACCATCGGCAACTTCAAGTCTCTGCAGGCCAAACTCGATAAACTCCATTGACGTTCGCCGACATCCCTCGCTTAACTTTCATCGCTTAGCTGATACATCTGTCACGTTTGTACATTGGAGACAGGAGTCAGGTATCACAGGCAGCGTTACGCACTACTCACAAAAAGTTACGACGGTGACATTTTAGAACAAACCTAAAATGAACGATTGAGCAGTTGGACTTGTGCGTTCAAAAGTTTCGCAAAAGTTACATTAATTTCACCTGGCAGGGTTTTTGGTGTGTATTCGGATCACCCTGAAATTGACTGCCAAAGCCCCAAAATTTCTCACTTCTTCTGAGTAGTGCATCTTCTTATTTTGGGGTAAAATGCCCAGTATGACTTAGTGCAAGGATGTGACTGTTAAGAGACTGAAGATGCAGGTTTTATAACTTATTTAATGCTTAGAGTCCCGAAACACAACAGTGGAAAATGTGTAAATATAGTACAGACACTCCTATGCATTTACAAGGAGGAGGCATACAAACCTATCACCACTTTTTTTTCTTCCTTATTGACAATGTATATAAACACAAATTTGATTATTTTTTTTAATGTGTTCGCGAGGCGTTTTTTCCGCTTTTCAGCCTCGCCATTGCCCAACTATACGCCTTAACATGACGGCTCCATTGCTCATAATGCGACAACCGCTGAGGGACGTCACTTCTTTGGGTTCAAGTAATTACGTTAATTAAAAACAGCACTCAAGGCTTCCCATACAGTCATCGCAAAAGGGAACGCTCAAATTGTTGGTTTTTTTTTTTTCCTCCAATTAGCTGCCTTGCACTGGAGTGTTTACGCTGTTTTAGCCTGGTGGGAATAAAGACATTTTGATTTGAAATTTTGACTTCATTATTATCAATGCCTGAACCTTTTCCAAAACTCCACTTTCATAACTTATTTTGTCAACAAAAATTAAGAGTATCTTGGAAATGCCGGTATGTTGATTCACTACACATCAATATTTCATGATTTTATTTGACAATTTTAATGATTAGAACAAATAAACCATCGCACAAAATTACACCCAAAAAACAATTATTTTTAGTATAAACGTATATACTACATGCACACAAATGCGGGAAAAAAATATACCTGGCAGATGTTTAAAAGCAAACCTCTGAAAGGTTGAATGCAAATGTACTTTGAAGTTAAGTGCAACTTAACTCTGCTGTGTTAACAAATGTACTGGAATTGATCAAAAACAAGGTTGAAGCCACTGTTAAAATGCAAAGCTTTCTATCTTTTACATGAGCATGTAAGCTTTTTGACTCCGTGCAGGAAAATGTAGGGGATGATGCAGGTGTAGGAGGCTGCAATGTAGCTGGCCACCTCCACCATCAGTAAGGAGGTGTGGAAGTTGTTGGTGATGCGGAGCAGCAGATGAGTCAGCCAGCACACCAGGAATACGCTGGCAACCGCCACCACGCTCTTGGCCGCACGCACTTGGGAGCTGGTGTTGGTCTTCCCCAAGTTCACCTTGGACAGTTTGGGTGGAGCTCCGCAGGCGCTTCGAGTATCTGGACAGGAAACGGAGGCGGGCATGCCCATGTAGACGTGGTTCGATGAGGTGGCGCTCAGCCTGGAAGCCGTCCTGGCGGCTCCTTCAAGAGCTTCATCCTTATCAAGTTCAGCGTTTCGATTCCGGATCCGCTGCTGGTTCTTCATTAACGTCACCACGATCTGACCGCTGGCGAACAGCAAGCCGGCGAGAGGAAGGGCGTTAGCCAGCGTCAGGTAGAAGACCTCGTAGGTCTGTCTGGAGAAGTCATCCGGAAAGACGTCCACGCAGTCCTCCTCGCTTTCGTTGGTCACCCTCACGCGCACAAAGAAAAAGTGCGGCACGCTGAAGGCCAAAGCCGTGGCCCAGCTGCCGGCCAGCAGGCCCAGCACGAGGCCCACGTTGTCCAGCTTGACGGGGGCGCCGCCCCGTTTCAGGGAGCCCACCAGCTTCTGGTGCCAAAAGGCGCTAATGAAGAAGGTGGTGAAGATGCTGCTGGTCTCCGACAGGTCAGCGCAGAAGCGGAAGACGCCGCAGAAAGTCTCCCCCATGAACCAGCGGCCGGCGAAGTCGGCGATGGTGTCGGGGAGGTCCACCAGGTAGTTGGTGATGAGGTTGGAAACTGCCAAGTTGATGAAGAGCACGTCGTTGGTGCAGATGCCAGATTTGGAAGGGATGGCGCTGATGGCCAACCAGTTATTCCCGACGATCCCCGCCAGGAACATGAGCGCTCGGATAATGGATTCAACCAACTCCTCAGTGTCCATGGTTGCAAAACGGCCGCTGACGAATGTCTCGGAAGGATGGATTGATGATGAATCAGACCTTTAGGACTTTTATGGACGAGCAGGAGTCACCTCTGCACCAATCAGCCTTTAGAACAGTTTTTACCCAAGGGAGCCTCATTGTGTGATGACAGCTGTTGAGCTTCATGTCATCTGGTTACGAAGTTGAGGTAAACCATCAAAACATGGAAGAATGTTTAAAGTGGGTCATATTTGGCCAATTGTCTTATATGGCAGGAACAGCAAGGCTTTCTCTTCTGGTGTAAATTAATCAAAAGCACTGACCTATATCCACAGCTTAAATTCAAATTGTTCACTTAATAGCAGAGTCGCCTATGTCGTGTTTAATTCACTTGAAAGCTTATGGGTTAAATGTAACCCAAAATAGGTGTGTTAGCTAACCCAGCGCATTGGGTTGAGGATTTGACCGAGCATGTTGGGTCAAAATTTTGACCCAACGGGTTTAAAAATTACCCATACAGATGAGTTTAAAGTACCAAGAAATTGTTTGCCAGGCTATCAGTGTTGCTGCGGTTAAAAATAATACAAATTTCCAGCAGCTCCTATTTATTTTGTTCTTCTACTTCTTCCTCTCCTAACTTGGTGCTGTGAAGTGTGAATTTCTCCATTGTGAGACTATTAAAGGTTTTCTTTTCTTCATTTTCTTAACAGCATTTTTCTAAGGAGTAACTTTCCCCTGTCATGAGTCGCCACAGAAAGTTGATTCCCATTGATGGGCAACCCTCCCTGATTCGGATTTGAACACCGATTCCTGTGTTGGGCCACCATCAGTGTTTTCCTCACATTAAATTGAACTCAACTGTAGTATTCAGCCCGCTGAAATCGAACCGGCAACCCAATCTGCTGGATCACAATAAATAACCTTGCGTACAAAAAGGAACCCAATCTCCTCAAAATTGGCAGCTACTCAAACAGGGGTTTGGGGAAAACAACCCGGCATTTTTTGTGTGTGTGTGCGTTCGTGTGAACTGTCAAAGCATCTATAATAAAAATAACAATGTGCTTGCTAAAAACGTTTTTTCCTTTGTGTAGGTTCTCAGTCAAGCAGGTCGTAGTCGTTATTCTAAGGTGTATTCCTTAAGCGGGTTTCTTCTGGGGTCATATTCAAAAGTAACAACTGTGAATTTTTTTTTTTTTAGGTTAGTAAAAATACCACGTCGGGGGCTGCAAGAGTTGCGTGGTTTACTTTCACGTCACCCGCGAGTGAAAGCTCCACCTTCTGGCTGAGCCGGAGGCGGTGTGCGGACTGCGGTCTGGAGGCGCTCACAGGACGGCATGAATCCGGAGCGAGCGTGTCTTTCACGTCTTTCTCGCTTCATTCTTCGCTTTTCACTTATAGCTTTTTTTTACCCCCCGCTGACATGTTCCCACTGGACCACGTTTGAACATGTTTGTGTTGTTGTTCGAGGGACTTTCTCCGCGCGCCGTCCGGTCTGAGATTTGAGTGAAACCCGGAGAGGACGGATGGACCGGACGGACAGGATGGCCGGCAGCGGCTCGGATTCGCTTCGAGCGTCCGCTTTCATCCCGGTGTGCACCGCCGCCTGCCTCCTGGTGGGCTCCACCTCGCTCTTCTTCGTTTTCACGTGAGTGACTCACTTTGTCTACCAGGGTAAATTCGAGTTTCACTGTTGTGTCCATTTTAACGCATTTACGACGTGAAGTATAATGTTTTTTTTTCTTTGGGCACTACCTCTACATACTTTTTTGTGGAGCAAACCAATCCCCTTATAGTGAGAAATTATACAAAAAAAGGCTTTTATCTATGAATTCCATCATATATGTGAAAAACATGAACACAACTACTTTTTTTTTAAACTTTGAGTCTGAAAATTCCTTTGGCTTTAATATTAATTTACACATGCACAGGACACACCAGCTCGCTTCTCTCATTCCAATTTGAAGAGAGGCAGGGGCGTCGAAAGGATGGCGCTAACTGTGGAGCACCAAGTCAGTTTTTTTTTTTTTTTTTTTTTTTTTTTTAAAGCCACCCAATTTTCAAATGAGCAAAAGTATTGGAACGCGTGACCGATAGGTGTTTCTACTTACTTCAGGTGCCATGACACCGACCCTGTGGGTTGGCTGTCAACAGGCCACGTCGAGGACTCGCTGCTATGGAGCACACTTTTTACTGATAAGACGCCTTCCCATCAGCCCGTCGGAGCCCGCATTTTTATGCAATATACACTTTTGAACTGTGACGATTGGCATAAAGGTTTGAATCATTCCTTGGAGGCTTATTTTGACCTATTTGTGGTGAGAGGTTGGAGAAAGTCCCCATGCGGTGTGTGTAAAGTAGTTTCGGGCTGAGCATTTGGTACCTGAGTCCTCAATGATGACTTATTCTGATTTAATCCACCGCTTAATAGCACCACTGTCACATTACTATTGTAGAACCCGTCAATACTATACAAAAACATCATATAACAAGATGCAATTGTACCACGTGCATCATCTGGTGCAGTACAGAGTCAAGATATATTTAATATGACAAAAAGAAAAAAAAATCAGGACGAATTCTCCCACTTCACCAGCTCAACTCGGTAGTGACCTTTGAACTGCCCCACTTTCTCTTTTACATATAGAGTACATTCGGGCCTTTTTACATTGGAATGTGACAGCGGGTTGGCCATGCAGGGGGATTAGGATCTCGTCGATGCCATGTGATCCCCCCCATCTGGGAAAACTTGAGTCTTTGACTTTGGCATGGTGCAGATGCAGATATAATTGCTTGTAGATTTTTGTTTAATCTGCTCATACTCATGCACTCAAATCCTTCCACCACCACCCCAGCACCCTTTTTTTGCACAGATGTCTTTGTATGAGAAAAGTGGGCTTGTAGGGTTAATTTTTGGCTCTCTTGACTCTTCCTTGCCTTCTTCCTGCTTTTGTTCTGCAGTTCTTGAATTTTTTATTTATTTATTTTTTTTTATGTGATGCCCCAGCTCAGCTGAAATAAAAAGGAAATAGAGAAGATAACACAGTTTTAGGGCGCACATAGACATACACATTCACACATACTTTATACACTTTGAAAGATTTGGGTAAAAGAATAACCAATCAATGGGTCAAAAAAGGGACCGACTGCTATTTGGGTAAATTCGACCAAACGGTTTGGGTTTGGGTTTGGAAGAAAACTGTGAGAGCGTGTGTGTGTCAAAAAAGGGACCGACTGCTATTTGGGTAAATTCGACCAAACGGTTTGGGTTTGGGTTTGGAAGAAAACTGTGAGAGCGTGTGTGTGTGTGTGTGTGTGTGTGTGTCTATTTGGGTAAATTCGACCAAACGGTTTGGGTTTGGGTTTGGAAGAAAACTGTGAGAGCGTGTGTGTGTGTGTGTGTGTGTGCGTGTGTGTGTGTGTGTGTGTGTGTGTGTGTGTGTGTGTC